CCAGGGTTCCAACTCCTCTTTGTCTTCAGCAGCACATTATTTTCTGATTTTTGGGGAGGCGGCCTTCCTGATGGCTGCGAGGTGGCATCTCCCTGGAGTTTCAGTTTGCATTTCTCTAACGATTAGTGATATTGAACATCTGTTCATGTACGTGTGGGCCATTTGTAGCTCTTTGGAGCAGCGTGTATTCAAGTCCTTTGCCCATTTTTAAATCATTTTTGTTGTTGAGTTTTAGGAGTTCTCTATACATTTTGCATATTAATCTTTTATCAAATATGTGATTTGCCAATATTTCTCCTATTCCGTGGATTGCGTTTTTATTCTGTAGACAGTGTCTTTTGATGGGCACAATTATCTAATTTTCACTAAGTCAAATTTGTCCATATTTTTGGCTGTTCTTTTGGTGTCCTATCCGAGGAATCATTGCCAAATCCAATGTTGTGAAGATTTTTGCCTTGTGTTTTCTTCTAAGAGTTTGTAGTTTCAGCTCTTCCATTTGGGGCTTTGATCCATTTTGAGTTAATACTTGTATTTGGTCTTATGTAAGGCTGCAATTTCCTTCTCTTGCATGTAGCTGTCCAGTTTTCCTAGCACCATTCATTCTAAAGACAGTTCTTTCCCCCACTGAATGGTCTTGGCACCCTTATCAAAATCATGCATCAAGTTTTTAAGCTAAGTTTGTAATGGAGCAGGATAGATTTGTAAATATCATTAGTGTTGCCCAATAAGACTGCATCGCCTTTCCTTTTCTACTTTTTTTTTTTAATTTTTTATTTTTTTTTTCTTTTTCAACGTTTTATTTATTTTTGGGACAGAGAGAGACAGAGCATGAACGGGGGAGGGGCAGAGAGAGAGGGAGACACAGAATCGGAAACAGGCTCCAGGCTCTGAGCCATCAGCCCAGAGCCTGACGCGGGGCTCGAACTCACGGACCGCGAGATCGTGACCTGGCTGAAGTCGGACGCTTAACCGACTGCGCCACCCAGGCGCCCCTCCTTTTCTACTTTTGAAGGCTTATAAATCCCCGTGTTATTATTTTTTTCAGGAGAATGGAGCTATACATTTCCTAGTTTGCGATCTAAGGTATTGTTTCCTCATCTCAGTTCCACCTCTTGGGTCCGTCCTGCCTGTCTTCCCCTTTGCTGTCTATCAGCACTGGCCAGTGTCAGCACCTGTAATAGCTTCCTAATGGATCTGTTCAATCTAGTACTCTTCTGATCTTTTTGAAATGCAAATCCCATCAATCTACTGCTTATGATATTTCAGTGGCTTCTTCTTGTTCTTTTTGGCACAGAAAGACCGCATTTGTTAGAGCGGCTACGTGTTGCTGTGGTCTGACCTCCCTCTCTTCTCCAGCTTCATTCTGTACCGTGCCGTTTGCTCCTATAATCAAGCAGGCCCCCTCTCGTTCCTCTGACCTGCCTTCTTCCTTCCTGCCACAGGGCCTTTGCCCTGTTCCTTCTGCTTGCATCACTGTGCAAACCACAAATTCTTTGGTTAACGTCTGTATCCTTGACTGGACTATGAGCTCCAGAAGGGCAAGAATTGTGTGTGTCTGTCTTTTGCCCCCAGAGCCTAATACAATGTTCAGCTCATAAAGCAGACAGTAGGACGTTCAGTATCCAACTTTGTTGACCTCTTTAGAAGCAGGTGTGATAAAAGCTCCAGGTGCTCATGTTTGGCCATTAGCCTCAACTCGGAGGGAGGTTCACAAGGGCAAGGCTCTGGGGGATGAAAGAGTCAGGTTTAGCAGAAAGAAGGGCCTTCTGAGAATGAATGTTGATGTCTCAGAGCCCTGGTATTTATGGTCTCTCCTTTATTTGGTTTGGACACAAGACATTCTTCCATCTCCTTTGGGTACTGTCATTTCCTTGTTTAGGAGTTTAGTGAAATCTGCACCTAATATGCTACAAACAGTTGGGGAGGAGAGGGGCGTCTGGTTTACGGCACCGAGGGAAATGTTAACTGTGCACAGCCTAGTGTAGCCACAGGATTTACTCTGTATATAAATCTAGGATGGACTTGCCTGGGCCTCTGTTAGCCTAGTCCCAAATTTAAGCTGTCTCCCCGCCTATGTATTTCCCAAGGGATCTAAGGATAAGAAGTAGAAAAAAAAAAGAGCCAAGACTTCTTCATGAGCACACACATGTTTTCTAGGCAAGCCTCTTATCTAAGCACCCACCGGCGCATGCTGAGGGGACACTATTAATAACAGTGGTGTTAGCAATAATAATTCTAGCCCTTGCTGAACTTTTGTTATGTGCTAAGTCCTTTGCCTGCATTATCTTATTTAACATTCCCAACGACTCTAGGTAGTGCTTTCACTCAGGACTAGACTAAAACATAGAGAAATCAAGCTCTTTCCTCCAGACCACACATGAGGCAACAGGTGGTAAAGGGATTTGAAACTAGGCAGCTCTTGCATTCTCATTGTTCTTGGCCACTGTTTTATCTGCCCTCTTCAGTCTTTCTTTTTTATTATATGATAGACACTGGCATTCAAAGGATGGTAAGTTATGGACGGTCCCTTCCCTAGAGAAAGTCATCGTCCACTCAGGGCCATACCAACCTCATCCCCTCCTTGATGACACCGAGCATTTACTATAAACCAGTTCTGAGCTAAGCCCTGTTGTACCTGTAATATCAAAGCCTCAAAACCATCCCCAGGTAGGTGCTATAATCACACCCTTTTTACAGAGAAGGAAATGAAGATCTAAGGCAAAGTCGGTTGCCCAAGGCCCCACAGCTATGGAGTGGTAGACTGGGCTCGGGCTTCAGGTTTATTTGAGTTGGTCAGATATCTGGACCTTTCACTACAATACCGGATCACAGACACATGGAGATTGCACAGAGGAACCTCCAATGCTTTTTGAACGCACTGGACAGGGCAGGATGTGGAGCAGCCAGAGAAGGCTTCCTGAGGAATACTGGATCCAGGGAATTATAACTGTAGGTTTTCTGGGTAACTTTGCCCTTTGCCTTCTTGCTTCCATGCACTCCACAGTTGTAAGTGGGAGTGGAGGGAAATGAAAGCCAATGGGTAGGCTTCCTAGAGGACTTATATATATTCAGCATATAGAACGTTCTGATCATTTTCCCAGCCTAAGAACAGAATGGGCTTTGGGGAAGGTAGTGAGTTCCCCACCCTTCGAGGTAGGAAGGAGGCCAAAGACACTTGAGGAGAGATTCAGTTACCCGGGTGGCAATCAGGTTAGATCAGCAGCCCTCAGTTGTGCGTAAGAATTGGTGGGTGATTTGATTGAACTTCGGTTCCTGGACTTTGCCCCTAGACGTCTAGTTCGGTGGGTCAGGACAGGATGCCCAGAATCTGCATTCTTTTTTTTTTTTAATTTTTTTTTTCAACGTTTATTTATTTTTGGGACAGAGAGAGACAGAGCATGAACGGGGGAGGGGCAGAGAGAGAGGGAGACACAGAATCGGAAACAGGCTCCAGGCTCTGAGCCATCAGCCCAGAGCCCGACGCGGGGCTCGAACTCACGGACCGCGAGATCGTGACCTGGCTGAAGTCGGACGCCTAACCGACTGCGCCACCCAGGCGCCCCAGAATCTGCATTCTTAACAAGCTCCCCAGATGATGTTGAAGGAGCTGGCCACTGTGAAGTCACACTACCACAAGCAGCAGTAACCTTTTAAATCCTTTCTAACACTGAGGTTCTTCAAAGCAGTGTTTTTCACAAACCATTCAGGCTATAAAAGGGGTTAACCGACTTCTTCTTTTCAAAGCCAGGTAGTGAAGAATTTAGGCTTACAGTCTCTGTCACTACTCAAATTGCCATTGTAGTGTGAAAGTAGTCATAGAGAATATGTAAATGAATGAGGTTGGCTGTATTCCAATAAAATTTTACTTATAAAAATAGCCAGTAGACCAGATTTGACCCAAAGCTATAGTCTGCTGACTCCTGACCTACAGAAATTGGTGCCATATAAAAATGAGTTTCTTTTTTTTTTTTAATATTTTTTTCAACATTTATTTACTTTTGGGACAGAGAGAGACAGAGCATGAATGGGGGAGGGGCAGAGAGAGAGGGAGACACAGAATCGGAAACAAGCTCTAGGCTCTGAGCCATCAGCCCAGAGCCTGACGCGGGGCTCGAACTCACGGACCGCGAGATCGTGACCTGGCTGAAGTCGGACGCTTAACCGACCGCGCCACCCAGACGCCCCTAAAAATGAGTTTCAAAAAAGCTACAAAACATATCTCTTCATGAGTAATTATGGCGCATAGTAGCACGTTAAAGACCCCGAGAAGACCCGAGAAGTAGAGATCTGTTTAATCTTGGTCTACCCAAAATTTCTTAAATTCATGTACCGCAGAACTTTCTAATTATGTGGTTTATTCCCATCCACTTAGAACTAAAGTTCCACAGAACCATTTGGGAACCATTAATTTGTATCTTACAAGTGGGCAGCATATATAACCCTTTGCATAAACTATCTTCTGAGAAGGCAGGAAGGAAACTTCCCTGAAATACTGGTCTCACTCAGGTTACTAGTGCTTACACTTAACTCATTTGACGTGGTGTCCTTGGTTCAGGTTGCTCTACCCAGATTGAAATGACAACACTCCCAAAGTAAATGCATTTGTCACATCCCTTCCCCCAGAGATTGTTTTAAATGCGAATATTGGAACAGAAGACCTGGAGATATTTGGAAGGGGTCACAGAAAAGATATCTCAGGAAGAAAAGTAAGTAGGAGGGTGGACATTCATTAATAAGATTTATTAAATGTGTGCCGTACCCCTACACTTTATCTAGATCAGTGGTTCTTCTTCTTCTTCTTTTTTTTTTAATGTTTATTTATTTTGGAGAGAGGGAGACAGAGTGCAAGCAGAGTAGAGGCAGAGAGAGGGAGACACAGAATCCGGAGCAGGCTCCAGACTTTGAGTTGTCAGCACAGAGCCCAGAGTGGGGCTAGAACTCATGAACCGCGAGATCATGACCTGAAGTCAATGCTCAACGGACTGAGCCACCCAGGCGCTGCTAAATCTGTGGTTCTTAACCGGGGGCAGTTTTGCCTCTCTAGGGACATCTGGCAATGTCTGGAGACGTTTCTGATTGTCATGACTGAGGGTGAGGGATACAGTATTGGCATCTAGTAGGGGGCCAGGGGGCCAGTGTGGCTGCTGAACATGCCCCACTGCACAGGGCAGCCTCACTGCCTTGGCCAACAGAGGATTTTCCTGCTGCAGACATCAATAATGCCACTATTGAGAAACCTTGATCTAGATTATCTAATTTCTTCCGTACAACAACCTTGTGAGGTAGGTGGTATTGTTTGTACTTTAAGGAAATGAGGAAACCAAGGCAAAGAGAAACGTAAGTCTTTTCCTCTGAGTTCCCCACAGTTAGTCGACGGTGTGAGCACACACCCTGAAAAGCTCATATTCAACCACGTGTGGCAAAAACAACTTTCCCTTCCTTGGCCATTAATAGTTCATGACTGTGAGGGCCTTACCACAGCTCCTTCTCACCCCCTTTTGTCACCCCACCCCCTTTCATTTGCTGCTTCTGATGCATTAGGTATGCAGCATTCACCTTTGTCCACCCCCCAAAAGTATACCTCCGATGACCACTAAAACCATCCTTATTTAACGTTTGAATTGCATCTGGTGCCAGCCTGACCGTTATATGTTCAGTTAGGTTTGTAACACCAGTCAAATGATTTGAACCTATTGGTCTTAGTTTCACCATCTGCAAGTGGGAATCGTAACAGTGTGTGTCCTTCCTATCTTGACTCAGTTCAACTCAAACAGAAGCTACGGGCCCAGGATTATGCATGGAAACTTGGGGACTCTAAAGAATGCAAACCTCCCAGGGAGAGTATGCTGAGGTGATGGGTTCTTTAAGGAGGAGGCACATTCCTTGTTTTTTATAAGCCTGTCCATCTCCAGTTTTTTCCAGCAGCCTACAGAATGCTGCCGAGTGTGAGAACGGGCCTCAGAGGGTCTGGACATCATCACCAAAGGGCAGTCGTTACCCCGATATTTGGCCTGGGGATAAGTGGGCCTGGAAGTGCCTGCGTGGCCGCACATCGCACAGTGGAAAGTTAAAAGTTTACGGGCAGAGCTCTTTCCAACAGAGCAACCCTGACAGATGTGACTGGGACGTGTGAGGAGACAGCGTGGGGCTTGCCTCGGATCCTGGAACTCTGAGTCGGTCAGGAGCTGTGAGGCCCTGATGCTTGATTTTGATCACTGCTAAAGTGAGCAGTGAATTTCAGACAGTCCACGAATAAGGAGGCTGTTGGTGAGAAGATGGCACCAGATGCAATGAGAAGATGATACCCTGTGGGTTACCACTAAGCATTGAAACCCATACTCAGAAAACAAAAGCAATGGCGTGGCGTGAATACCGCGGATGGCATATCATGGCGACCAGATTTGGGTGTGGCAAAGAGTCATGAACACTGGCCGCCAAGACTGGCCTTCCCTTAGTCTCTGTCATCTTCTCCTTCAAGAGATGTCTGCTGTTTCGCTCTCTCACCACCTATACTGACTCTGGTTGTTCAGTGAGTTCATAGTGAGAGAAGATACTCCTAGAAGTAGAAACGACAAGAGTCCCCAGTCTCCCGAAACATTCTTTTCAGAACCTCGAATCCTCAGGGAAATGAGCTGAACGCTGGGCTTTTGGTGTTCACAAATGCCAGGAATGGAATCGTTTAAAAAAAAAAAACGCATGCCCCATAAATGGCCACTTCCTCTGTTCCCACCCATTAACAAAATAAATATTGTGATGTCAGCGTGTGGTTGCAAGGTATCAGACTGGGGGATGAATAGGGAACATTAGGGCACATGCCCCAGGGGATTTATGGGGGCTGACTGGCACGTATGCACGAACGGAGTGAGGTTGTTGAATTATTTCATAGCAAGAGATATGTCACGTTATGGACATTTGTGATGAGTCACACTTTACTTGACTGTCGTACTAAATCACATTCCTTTTTGCTTTTGTTAAGTCCTGCCTTTATAGAGTTTCTAGAAGGGCAATCAGGGGAGTGGGAAGACATAAAATTGGGAACAGGTAAAAGCGGAGGTTCTGTCTTGGCTTTGCCACTTATTTGCTAGGTGATGGTGGACCAATCATTTATTTAGCTTTTCTAGACCTTAGCTTTTCTTGACAATTCAGTAACGAAATATTACCTTTCTGATGGGATTCGAAATCAAGGACATAATGAATGTTAAGTGCCTAGAATGCACTCGGCACTCAAAAATGCTGTTATTTTCAGTCGAACAGACATGAAATGATATTTAGCTCCTGTGAAATCTCTCTATTAGAGATACCTGGCCACGCCCCCAAAAGAAGGAAAGCTCTTCATTGTGATACCTGGTAATGCGTAGCCAGCATAATTGATGATAATTTCAACTCGTTAGTTCTTTCTTAGATGGCCCTCCGACCCTTCAGAGGGGGAAGATACAGAGCAAAGAAAGAAAGCTGGAGTCCCATTATAAACAGACTTACAAAAACCCAGATTTGATGATAGAGAAATTAGTGTTGAAAGAATTCTTGCGGGCACAGGGTTGACAGTCCTTTATGGGTGTAGTTGATCTGTTTCACGTTATCGTTTCTAGGTTTCTTCAACCCGGTGACTCAAACTGGGCTGCCCTCTTAGCCTGGGAAATCCCTACAGCGGAAACTGGGGGGAAAGAGGCCCTTTGTGATATTCTCACAATGAATCACCAGTGATTGCAGCCAATTCAATCTTGGATTCGTTCAACTATGTTACCTTGAAAAGTGGAAGCACCCTTGCCTTTCCCTTTTCCTTCCTTTGTTCGCCAGCCAGCCACAAGTCTCTGGGTCCACCACACCCCTCACCTCTTACACAAAGACCTTCAGCTTGGAAGTTGCAGCAGCCCCCCTGGGGAGGAGCCCGAGGAAGCCTCCCCACTCCATTCCCACCCTCCGGGCTTTTCTGGCAGGTGCCGATTGACCAAGTTTTCCCTTGGTGCAGCGTTCGTGTTTTGCGTTTCCTCTCTTTCAGTAACTCATGATTACTAAGGTAATAAGAATTGTTCTGTGGAGTTAGCAAACGCCTGGGTGGGCAAAACTTGTGCTCACGGTGAAGAGACTCTGAGAGCCCTTGGTTAAGAAAGCTCTTTGCAGAAGCATAACTAGGCTTTCATGCTGCCTACAAAACCCAGGAAGAAGGTTGAAGCAAACGAAGGCATCTGGTGGGATTTTATTAGGATGGGCTCCTACAGTGGTCTGTCTGGACTACTTGGGGACATGTCGGGGGGGGAAGAAGAGCTGTGATGTTCTGGCCTATCAATGTGCCTTCCCTCTGATCCAGGGAGCAGACAAAATAGTGCTTTGAGGAGGGCAAAGCTGGTGCTGCGACAGAATTTTTTAACTCAGTCCTCTTTGACCCGATTCAGCCAAAGAACTCCTGAGCCCCAGCTCTGGACGGTGTAGAGCTGCCTTAGGTTCCATCCCCGCCCTCCTGGGGCTGCCTCCTAGGAAGAGAGATGGACACAGAGACAGGATGTTATGACATACCTGCCTTTTCCAAATGCCAGCCTGGTGCTCAAAAACATTGAATAAACATACCTCACCTCCACAAATTCTGCCATAAAACCATACCTAACAAGAGGGTTGTCACTTGCTCACTACTTTTCCTTAAACCTCCTTTCTGTTTCTCTCTCTCTCTCTCTCTCTTTTGTTTTTCCTCTTTACTTAGCCTCACCCTCATCAATACACAGTGTGAAATTGTGGGTCTGATGTATTAGTTACATTGTTACAAATGCACATTAAAATAAATGCATAAGCAAGTAAACGTGTCCCTCCGTGTACTACATAGGCACCGTGCCTCACCTATTCCCAGCAGCGGGGGGAGACCACCCATGGGGAATCGTTGCCATATGCTGCGTGCTGCATGTAGGAACATGACAGAGATCTTCCAGAGGCGATGCCATGGAGCTGGGGAGGAAGGGGGGGTAGAGTGAAGTCAGAGGACTTCCCTGAAGATTCTGAACTGAGTTTCAAATCATAAATGGGAGTTTGCTAGGGAGTCCTGGGGAAAGAGTGCTCTCGACAGAAGGAGCAAACAGTGCTAAGTTTGAAGTATTAGAGAAAGGAGCGAGGGAAGGAGTAAGATATTCATTTGTCCGGTAAGTATTTCATGAGTGCCTCCTTCGAAGCCACATACGGCATCTGTTTATTTGTTAGTTCTGTACATCATTGGTTCTGGGAGGATATACCAGGAAGTGTGATGCATGGTGTTGCTCACAAGTTGCTTTTAATCTGCTTATATAGGTCACACACACACACACACGCACACACACACACACACACACACACACACACACACACACACAGGTATCCAGAGACAAACATCCAAAGAGAGCATATGATTAAGGACCAAAATAGTAGCACTGATAAGTTCCGTACTGAGTTCAGAGGAGAAATTCTGCAGATAGCCCTGGCTGAGGAAGGCGTCCGGAAAGTGAGGGACTTTGAAGCAGGGGGTAGAACTGGGAGAGTGGAGGAAACTGTTCTGGCCAGAGAAATAGGTCAGGAGGAACAGCTGCAGTGACAGGAACGCATTTAACTTGTCTTCACTCTCTGGCTCCTAGACCAACGGTTGGCACAGGCCCCTAATCCAGGTTCTTAACCCAGTGCCTGAAGGAATGTTCGGGGGTCTGTGACTCTCTGGGCGTTGCATGCAAATGTTGGTGTGAATTCATACGTGCGTTTTTCTGAGCAAATTATTTCTGGTTTTCATCAGATGCTCCAGAGAGTACCTCAACATTGCTTTGGAGCTTCAGCAAGTCTATTCTGATGTGCCTTTATCTTCTCCGGTGATCCCTGTTGTTGTTTCTTTAAAACTTGTGCTGCTTTTTTTTTTTATTATAACAAGTATCCAGTTTTCATAAACTTGAAGGACAACAAAACTTCTCAAAGTTATTGGATTCATGTGCCCCAGCGAGGTCAGACTGTGAGGCCCACCCAAGCTCTTAACCACCACAGTATCCTCCTTTGTTCAGTCTGGATTCACACAGTCAACCTCACCTCCACTGTTCACGCTTTTACTATTCTCAGCTTGTGAAACAACACTGAGTAGTTGGCCCTGGTCACTGACCTTGACGTGAGTGTTAATTTTCTCCTTTTGACACCTGATTTTACTACTCATCGTACTCTACTTAGAAGAGCCGGTCCTTTGGGAACTCTGGTAATGAAGCATGCTTTAAATACCTTCCATACATCCCTTTTTTTTTTTTTAACGTGATATTTCAGTACGATAGCTACACGGGAGCCCCACAAACAGCAGTGTCACCATTTTACAATCAATAGTTATATGAACCTGTTTGCAAAGCCACTGCGTACAATTTTCTAAATGAACTATTGTTCTCTTTCTTCTTATTGCTCAAAAGTAGGGAGAAGCTTATAACCAAGTCCCGCATTCCCATCTCCTAATTTCTTTTATAAACTCGTGGCCAATTATTTCTCCTCTTAGCCCCACTACTCACTCTTCCCACCTGGATTATTTTGAAGCAAATAAATCCCACATATATAATTTCACCCTTAAATATCTCAGCATCGTACAGGATTTAAAGTAGGCTTCGTTATAAATAGCACAGGCCGCTTGCCAGGTCATGGAAAAGTCTTGTGCTATATACAACCGCGTGTGAAAGAATTTTATTTAACCAGGGTCTTCGTTGCTTCTCTGAACATTCCTGTTTGGTAATTTCTGTAGGTTAAAAGTCTTTGTGATAATGAAGTCTGTCATACTTTTGAGGATCACTCTTGCTGTGAGGTGTAGTTTTAGTTAAATCAATTCAAGGGCAATTATGTGTGTATAGTCAATTCTGCTATAAAATCTGTTTTGAGAACGTGGATTTGTTCCAACTCCACGGATACGTTAAGGAACGATTCGGACATAACTGAATTGCATGTGTGCTTATGCATGATTTCATCCCCCAGGAAAGAGTAGGCGAGGACGGAAAGCTGCCACTTGCTGAACCAGATTGGGGTGAAATACATTTCCCCGTCCCCCTCCCCCCCAGACATCAGCATCCACCTCAGGCCACCCTGGGTGTTATGAGCCACACTATGTGCATCTGGTGCTACAACTGTCTGTCCCATTGTACGCAACGCTGCTTCCACCCACTGCGCAGTAGCCCACAGGCCGCAACCCTTCCAACGCCCATTTCCAGAGGCAAACGCCAGGTCTTTTTCAAGGCGAAGTGCAATATTTACTGCAGTATTTATGCATGTCTTTGGGTTGTTTTTTTTTAAGTTTATTTATTTATTTGAGAGAGACAGAGACAGCATGACTGGGGGAGGGGGGAAGAGACTGAGACAGAGAATCCCTAGTTGGCTCTGCCCTGTCAGAGGGAAGCCCCAGGTGGGGCTCGAACTCCAGAAACTGCGAGATTGTGACCTGAGCGGAAACCAAGAGTCAGATGCTGAGCCACTAAGCCACCCGATGTCGCGGTATTTATGCATTTCTTAACCATTTCTTAACCATTTCTTTATGCTGTGTGACTGTTTTTATGAGATAGCTAGCCTTTTTTTCCTTTAATGAGGCCTGGAAAAATTTTCAAGTGTTGTGTCCCTAACCTAGGGTTTCTCAATCTCGGTGCTTTCGTATACTGGCCTGGGTAATTCTGTGCTGTGGGAAGTGTTCTGTGCCCTGCAGGATGTTTACCAACATCCCTGGCCTTTCCCTACCCCCTTCTCTTTACCACTGCCCACCAGTGTGACAACTAAAAATGTTTCCAGACATTGTAATTGTCCCCTAAGGAGAGGGGTAAAATTGTATGGGATTTTGAGATTTTGTGAGAGATAGAGAAGCGCTGCTATAACCCCATGTCCCATGAGCCCTGTGGTATTTTTCAGATTACTTGCATAGCATGATAATTTTTAGGAACGTATGTACGTCCCATCATAGCAGAAGTGACTGTCCATATGAAATGAGTGTTTGAACATGAATGCTTATGCAGATCGTATTTATACGGCACTGTTGAATTCCCTTTACTTCGCATGGAGTTCAAAATGTAAATTTCTTTTTTAAAAAAATTCTTTTAACGTTTATTTATTTTTGAGACAGAGAGACAGAGAATGAACGGGGGAGGGTCAGAGAGAGGGAGACACAGAACCCGAAACAGACTCCAGGCTCCGAGCAGGTCAGCACAGAGCCCGACGCGGGGCTCGAACTCACGGACTGTGAGATCATGACCTGGGCCGAAGTCGGATGCTTAACCGACTGAGCCACCCAGGTGCGCCTCAAAATGTAAATTTCTTAAATGAAGAGAATCACTGACTTCTAAAAACATCTTTGCTTTCAAAGTACGTAGACCTTCAACCATACAGAATCATATAACCAAAAAAATGTTAACAATAGCTATTATTTTTGGATATTCCTTAAGAACCAAGCACTGTGGTACGAGCATTATATTTATATTTAACCTTCACAAGATCTCCTTCCAGGAGCCACTGTCTGTCACCCCCGTTTACCAGGAGAGAGCTCTCTGAAGGAAAACTGAGTCCCTGATGAGTCTGGAGATTGGCCTGGGGTCAGCCATATAACATGGGGATAGTAAGCTTCAGGACAGTGTCTCTAACTCCCAAGTCTTCGTCATCATGCCTCTGGAGCCTCCTTACTTAAGGACATCAGCAACTATTTACTGAGAACCTCCTCCTTTTACCAAAGCCGTGACTGTGGCATTGGTAACATAGCAAGTAGCTGAAAAGCCAAAATGCTCAAATGAATTATTTCATATTAACTATACTGAAGCCCTATGCTGACATTAAAAATAAGGTTGTAGAAAAAGAATTGTTTGGGAAACCTTCATGCTTTATTTACCCAGCAGCATATGTATCTATTTCTCCTAAGAAACACAGAGAAGGTAGCATTGCAGATCTGGAAGCACCATTATCATCTTCGCGTGCTAGGATTACTGATGATTTCTGGCCTCATCATTTTGCTTAACCATATTTGTGAAATCTTCAGATGAACATGTCTATTATGTATAATATGTAATATTTAAAGAAACATGCTTTTTAAGAGAAAAGTGAAGCCTGAAATAGCACAAGAGATAATAAAAGGGGACTAGACACTTAATGAGTTCAAGTTGGATTAAATTCTAGAATATAGAAAGGGTTTGCAGATGTGATTACAAAACCACTGTCAGCAGTCTTAGAGAAATCAGAGACTGGGAGCAAGGCCAGGGAATTGGAGACAGGAATATGTTATTCCAGTTTTCAAAAATGAGAAAAATGTGGGTTCTAAAAGCTAGAAGGCAATGGATATAGCATTCAGAACTCCATTATTAAACACACCCTTCACGAACGTTTGGGAAAGAGAGCTCAGCCACAGGCAGCCAGGAGCTTGCAGCGGTCCAGGTCGTGCTGGCCTCAGTTTACTTCCTCTTTCAAGACTTGCTTTTTGGTAGACCAGTAAAAAATTGCAGATATGGTGCATTTCAATTCCAGCAAGAGTATTTCCTACACAGGTGTGGGCTCCTTGTGCAAAGTGTGGACTACATGATAATTTGATGAGTTAGATTCACAGCTAACTGAACGAGTCGTATTAATCACCAGTGGCTACAAATTGTCTGAGCAAGGAAGGTACCGTGCTGATAAGCCTCTACACACACAGCCTTGTCCCTGGGTGCCATTGGCTTAGAAAGGCTGTCATATTCTGGAAGACACACAGTGTATAAATAGCAGACTCGTGAAATGTGCTTTTACCTATTATTTCATATTGCCTTCCTAGAAAATAAGTAGGGATTGAAATGAGGGCTTTAATTGCAGGCCACAGGTCTTTGTCTCCTGCATTAGGTTGATCACTGATTCGTTCACAAGGAAGCGCAGAACTAGTCACATTGGAAGAAGACATACAGCTGGGGGTTTGGACCCCCTGTCCACACCACTCCTTCCTTTCCTCTGATTGTAGGAGTGGACTCTCCCACTGA